ACTTCAATCTTTTCTCCATTTATCATGATGTTGCTTATTGGTCCAGTTGTGAGGATTTTTGTTTTCTTTATGTTGAAGTGTAATTCATGCTGAAGGTTGTGGTTATTGAGCTTCATCAGTAAGTGCTTCAAGTCCTCTTCTCTTTCAGCAAACAAGGTTGTGTCATCTGCATAACACAGGTTGTTAATGAGTCTTCCTCCAATCCTGATGCTGAGTTCTTCTTCATATAGTCCAGCTTCTCGGATTATTTGCTCAGCATACATAAGAAAACCATTACCTCATGATTTAATAAAAAAGACAGTGGGTTTACTTAATTTAAATTTGAAAAGGTCTCATGGCTGTAGATGGGTGGAGGGTCAAATTTTTAGCAGCCAGCATGGATAGAAGACCCAATGTTGTGAAAATGTCAATTCTACCCAAAGTGATCTACAGATACAATGCAATCCCAATCCAAATTCCAATGGTATTTTTTAATGAGATGGAGAAACAAATCACCAACTTTATATGGAAAGGGAAGAGGTCCCAGATAAGTAAAGCATTACTGAAGAAGAAGAACAAAGTGGGAAGCCTCACACTACCTGATTTTAGAACCTATTATACCGCCACAGTAGTCAAAACAGCTTGGTACTGGTACAACAACAGATACATAGACCAATGGAACAGAATTGAGAATCCAGATGTAATTCATCCACCTATGAGCAGCTGATATTTGACAAAGGTCCAAAGTCTGTTAAATGGGGGAAAAGACAGTTTCTTTAACAAATTGTGATGGCATAACTGGATATCCATCTGCAAAAAAACTGAAACAAGACCCATACCTCACACCATGCACAAAAACTAACTCAAAATGGATCGAAGACCTAAATATAAAATCTAATACAATAAAGATCATGGAAGAAAAAATAGGGACAATGCTAGGAGCCCTAATACATGGCGTAAACAGAATACAAAACATAAGTAACAATGCACAAACACCAGAAGAGAAACTAGATAACTGGGAGCTTCTAAAAATCAAACAGTTATGCTCATCGAAAGACTTCACCAAAGGAGTAAAAAGACAACCTACAGACTGGGAAAAAAATTGTGGCTACGACAAATCCGATCAGTGTCTAATCTCTAAAATCTACAAGATACTGCAAGACCTCAACAACAAAAAGACAAATAACCCAATTGAAAAATGGGCAAAGGATGTGAACAGGCACTTCACCAAAGAAGACATTCAGGCGGCTAACATAAGGAAATGCTCACGATCATTAGTCATTAGAGAAATGGAAATCAAAACTACAATGAGATACCATCTCACCCCAACAAGGCTAGCATTATTTCAAAAAACACAAAATAATAAAAGTTGGAGAGGTTGTGGAGAGACTGGAACACTTATACACTGTTGGTGGGAATGTAAAATGGTACAACCACTTTGGAAATCAATTTCGCACTTCCTTAAAAAGCTAGAAATAGAAGCACCATACGATCCATCAATCCCACTCCTTGGAATATATCCTAGAGAAATGAGAGCCGTCACACAAATAGATATATGTACACCTATGTTCATTGCAGCACTGTTCACGATAGCAAAAAGATGGAAATAACCTAGGTGCCCACAACGGATGAATGGATACACAAATTATGGTATATTCACACAATGGAATACTACACAGCGATAAAGAACAATGATGAATCCATGAAACATCATAACATGGAAGAATTTGGAGGGCATTACGCTGAGTGAATTCAGTCAGTCACCGAAGGACAAATATAGTATAATACCACTATTACAAAAACTCAAGAAAAGGTTTAAACACAGAAGAAAACATTCTTTGATGGTTACGAGGGCGGGGAGGGAGGGAGAGGGGTATTCACCAACTAGATAGTAGACAAGAATTATCTTAGGTGAAGGGAAGAACAACAAACACTACAGGGGAAGCCAGCACAGCTGGACTAAACCAAAAGCTTAGAAGTTTCCTGAATACAACCAAACACTTTGAGGGACATTGTAGCAGGGGCGGGAGTCTGGGGACCGTGGTTTCAGGGGACATCTAGGTCAATTGGCATAACAAAGTTTATTTAAGAAAATGTTCTGCATCCCACTTTGGTGAGTGGCATATGGGGTCTTAAAAGCTAGCAAGTGGCCATCTAAGATGCATCAAGTTGGTCCCAATCCACCTGGCGCAAAGGAGAATGAAGAACACCAAAGACACAAGGAAAATATTAGCCCAAGAGAAAGAAAGGGTCACATAAACCAGAGACTCCATCAGCCTGAGACCAGAAGAACTAGATGGTGCCTGTCTATCACCAATGATCGCCGTGACAGGGAACACAACAGAGTCCCTGATGAAACAGGAGAAAAGTAGGGTGCAGAACTCAAATTCTTGTAAAAAGACCAGACTTAATGGTTTGACTGAGACTGGAGAGACCCTGGAAGACATGGCCCTGGGAGTCTCTGCTAGTCCAAAACTAAAACCATTCCCGAGGCCAACTCTTTAGACAAAGATTAGACTGGACTATGGGACATAAAATGATACTTCTGAAGAGTGTGCTTTTTAGCTCAAGTAGATACATGAGACTAAACGGGCAGCTCCTGTCTGCAGGCAAGATGAGAAGGCAGAAAGGGTCAGGAGCTGGTTGAATGAACATGGGAAATTTGGGGTGGAAAGGAGGAGTGTGCTGTCACAGTATAGGGAGAGCAACTAAGGTCACATAACAATGTGTGTATAAACTTTTGTATGAGAAACTAACTTGAATTGTAAACTTTCACTTAAAGCGCAGTTAAAAAAAAAATTTCAGCAGCCAGACCAGAAACCACCTAGTAACTTGTTATCAGTTGATCTCAGTAAAAGGGGGGAGCAGGGTTCAATCAATCATGTTAAGATTAGCTAATTGTTGATCTTCTATTCTTCTCCCGCCTCTTCTCTTTATAAACTTCATTGTAACTAGCCTACCTGGAGCCATATGCTTTTTTATAAAAAATCAAAATGGTCTCTCTATATGCATATAGAATAACTGCTCAGAATAAACCATATGTTTCAATCTCTGTGAGTTTTGATTATTTTTTTTAACAGAACCTAGCTGGCAAATTCAAAACTCTTCTTAGAATGCACATAAAGGTGAAGAATCTAAATGACAAAAGGCAAAATTCCCCTTGGAAATGAAGATGAGAGTGGGAGGAAGACAGAGAACACTTACATGTTAATAAATCACATCAACATTTAGATCCAAAATTTGCTATTTCAAAACTCCCACCATGTAACTCAAGAACCTCAGCTCTAGTTTTAAAGCTCTTTTGCTCCCAGTGTCTCTGGAGTCTGAGCTGATGGCTTGTGTTAAATGAAATGAAAATGGAGTAGTGTGGTTTACAAAATTATATTGGCGGTCAAGTTGCACCACTAAAACTTGTCTTTACTAAAATTTAAGCCTAGCTTTCCTGTAAATCAGGCCATCCTCACTGACCAATGAGATTCTGACGTTGCTCTCACCCTTGATGACTAATGAAATCCTGGCAGCATTTCATTAGTAAACTGTATGAGCCAACCAGAAATAAACTTTTCCTTTCACGTTTTGTCAATATAATTCAATCTCTGCTGATAACTCGGTGGAGTACCTTTCCACAGGTGGTTTGGTGCTACCCGATTCATGAATTTTCTGCCCGGAAAAAGCTCATCTAATAGATTAATTTTATTATTGACTCAGTTTCTTTTGACAGTTGTATCTGAGTCATCCTTTTGTAGCAGCTGGTGTCCTCTGCACTCCCCTGGGCCACCGCTGGGGCAGCTGCTGCTACTCTCCTCTTCTGGGGCCCTGTTCTTTTAGTGGCGCTCAGTCCTTCCTTGCAACTTGCACTCTTGCACTGCAACCCCTAGCCCTGCCCTCACCACTTTTTGAACAGGATACAGCTACGTATGTGTGAATCCTAGTTGTGGACATGGTTTGACTTCTTATCCAAGGAGGTTTCTTGGGTCCTGTGTAAAACAATGATTACAAATAGGAGGGGTGGGAGAGGAAGTTTGTGAGTGGAATTTATCATTTAATTTCGTCTATCTTATCCTGCTTAAAGATTCCCCATACCACACAGATTTCATTTACAGTAAAAAGGGATTTTTGAGATTTGAAATAAAGTCAAACATAAAAAGGAAATCTATTGTGGAAACAAGGTTTTATTTTATGAATGTGGCAGAAATCATATAAGTGATTTCAATTGGAAATAGCAAAATATACACAGGCCAAGCTACGAATTTGTCAGTCTTAAAAACTACAGACGTTAGCATATCTCCAAAAGTATAGAAATAGTGAAGGCTCCACTATTTGCTGATTGTCCTTGATCAAGGTCTTCTGCGGGCCTGGTCTGGTTGCACTGGAGCTGGTTTATGAAATGTTACTGGGTGGAAGCCCCAGGTTCTGATTGGCGTGACTCGCATTGGCCAACAAACAAGAGACCAGAGTGAGAGACTAGAAAGGTACTTTTATTTCACTGTGCAAGGAAAAGAAGCAGTCGGGACGGCAGCCACCAAGACTGCTTCTCGAGGGGAAGGGGAAAGGTTATTTTTAAGGGGTTTACAAGTAGGGAGTTCATACAAGTTCCATCAGCAACATTCTTAAGCATACTACGCAGACGCAATGGGGTTTACATATAACTTCAAGCATTGCCAGGATTTTAATGCAGTTACTGGGCAGGCAAAGCAATGGAACTAGGATTCTAGTGCAAAGTTGCAGGGCAGGCCAAGCAAGCTGCTTGAGGCAGTGGAATTTTCCTCAGCTTGGGGACCTCTGTCTTAAAAGTATGCTAAAGGGTATAAGAGTATTGTTTGTACACTTGGGCTTTTCAGAGACCAGTCATTTTTGTCAAGGGATTTGTAGATTTAAACAAATGTTCATCATGTTTTCAGTGAGTAGTATTTCTGTCCTAAGCAGTATTTAAAGTGAAGAGTTAGACTTGAAATAAATTTCTAGTAGGGGAAAGCAATTACTTTTACAATGCAAATGATTAAAAGATAAAAGTTCTTCTTTTATCTAGGAATAAAGCATAACCTGTAAGGTGGTGGAATGTTGAGAAGCCCGGTAACAAGAGGTTTGATGTTTAGTTCCTTTGGCTCAACTAGGGGCTTCAAGGAGAAGTTCTGCATAATGGTGGTGAAGAACAGGAATAGCTCCATGTGGGCCAGGCTCTCTCCAACGCAGGCCCGTTTTCCTGGAAGGAGGAAACATCTCATTAGCTTGCTTCATGTTCAAATACAGTGTGCCCCCAAAACCATTGAAAATACCAGTCAGAAAGCTGAACACACAAACTGCTGGTGGAAAATAAATTGGTACAGTTTTTCTAGAGGGATATTTGGCAATACGTATCAAAACTCTCTAAGAAATTTACACTACTTAATTCAGTGATTCTCCTGGGAATTTATCTACAGGAAATAGAGATTCATCTATGAAGATATCACTTGTATCATTATTTATGATATTAATGAATTAGGTGAAACCTAGATATCCATCTAAATGGATTGATTAAATAAATCATTGTGTACCCATCATACAATGCAACCTAAAAATGTTTATATGGAAGAAGATTTAATATCATGGACAATTTTTTTTTAATTTAATTTAATTTTTTTTAATTGTACTTCAGGTGAAGGCTTACAGAACAAATAGTTTCTCATGAAACAGAAGTACACATGTTGTTTTATGACATTGGTTAACAA